TAAAATGCTACTCCCTCCGTTCCTTATTATAAGAGACGAATAACTGAATTACGTTGATCAAAAAACAGTTAAAATTAGTTAAGAACAATAATGTGTAAAAAGTATAATTTCTTTTCCAAAAATACCCTCATTAATAAGAAAAGAGAACATGAGAGAGAACAATAGTAAATTATTAAAGAAAGAGAAGTGGGAAGGAGAGAGAGTGTGAGTGGAGACATAAATATGGGTAAAATAGGAAATCAACACAAAAAAGTAGAGAAACTTTTAAGTGTCTCTTATATATAGGAACATGCCATAAGCATCAAATGTTCTTATAATAAGAAACGGAGGGAGTATATATCAACTGCAAAGTTCCTCCCAAATAGTTTACATGCTGCCAGAACATCATGCTACAAATTGATAAAGCGGATATCTCTTAAATTATAAAACTCATAGCCATAAGTAGCGCCGATATGATTAGGTCAACGACGTTTATAGCCCCATGATGCATAATATGTATGCATTTTCATTTCCAAACATTACAGCGAGAATGAGGAATTAAACAGCATAAAATTTGAACGTGTAAATAAATTCTACAAATGCAGTATTGCCATGTGATTACAGCCGGGGAAAATTATCCAAGAAAGAAACAAAATGACAGACATACAATAAAGTTAACTCCTTTCCAGGGAAGTGAAAAAACAGATTTGAGTTTCCTCCACCAACAACAACTGAGTTCAGTCCTTTCAAGACCAGGCTGAACAGGCGGTCCTAAACCCCACAAAGTTCAATTTATAAAACCGATTATGGATATGGCGTGAACGACTCAAGAGCAACCCACACAGCCCCAGAAAATTTGAAACGCTAGATGGTCTAATTAAACCCTAAAAATACCGAAAACTACAGGAAGAATCAAACTTGATATAGCTTGAATCCTGCTAAATCACCGACCGACAGGCCCATGAAAACAAAAATAAGAACTCGGGGAATGCCTTGAAAACTTACCAGATGAAATCAAAAATCCTGATCTATTGGAAAATCAGAGGCTGAAAACTCCGGGAATAAAAGCAGGCAAGCGCTCGCCTATGCTCCGAGTCCGAGAGATAGCAAATTTCTATTGATTAATTATTTGAGGGAACGAAAGAGGCAAAGAACAGCCCCACAGAAACGGAAGGGGTAGAAGACAGAGGCTCTTGGTGGAAGATATAAAAACAAAGATAGAAGGGGAACTAAAATAGGGGCAGTAATCTTTTTAAGCTACGGTCAAAAAAATTATTTTAAAGAAAGTGGAGAAATTATCATGTACTGATAATGATGAGCTCATTTAAATTTGTTTATTTTGGGTAACAAATCACCATAATATTATCATTATCAATTAATTTAGATTTGACATGTTATTCACAAAATTTGCATATGACATTTTATTTAAGAGTGACGTGGATGTTATTTAATTTTAAACTTCTATCAAATCCAAGACCTTACCTGAGGTGTGAAAGTATTCATTCGTGATATTTAGATACAAAAATGGAATCAGTAATAGGATCCAATATAATTAAAATCTAATCTATCTAACTTTAACTTCACTCTGAGATGATCAGAGCTGAAGAGAAAAAGCCACAGGCAGGAGGCTTCTGTTTGGCCGCTTACTTCCGTGTTTTTACTTTCCCTCTCTCAAAGTAAAAGCATTAACGAGACAGCGCAGAGAGAAAGAGGGAGTACACCCTGCGTTTCCATACCCTTCACGCCAACCACCCCTGACTTCTCTCTTTGCCTTTGCCATTCAAATCACATTCATGTTCACATGCCTTTCTTTTTGTCGCGAGGCATGACTTTAGGTCCGGTTTAGTTTAATGTGCTACCACCAGAAAAACAATATGATGATTACTACACACGTGGAATTAGCTATCATAATTAGGACTCGGACCTGGTGAGCAGAATTTGCCATCCTTTTTGAATACGCGCTCGCTTTGTATGAATCTTTGACTATATGTAAGGACTCTTTCTTTGTGATGAACCCATAATTTATGGGTTAGGAAATGAAATGACAAAAACATGTACATGATAGGGTGGCTATATTTCATGTCAGTGCGTTTATAGGTGCAGCCTATAACCAAACGGTCATTGCTCTTGTAACTTTTGGGTGAAGGGAAAGAACCGACGAGGCCACCTACTTTGCACATTAAGTTTTTGGTGTGAACAACGAATCCAATACAATAGCCTTCACCTCGGCAAGTGGCAACTGTCAATTCTGTTGTCTCCTTTTTATTGGCCAAACACGTTACACAAAGGCAGGTTCTTCTTCGGCTAAAGCTTCCATATATCTTTCACTATTTATTCTTTCTTCAACTATTTCGGCCATCTCTGTGCTTCCTTTCTCCACCAAATTTTTTGTTGATTTTTTTAATGTCAAAAAAGCTAATTACTTTGCCTGCCGTCTCCCAAGGAGTCTGTTAGATAGAGGGGTCAAGATTAACTGAACCAAGTTCCTTTGAAAACCAGCAGGATCCCCCCCATCCATAAAAATAAAAATAAGTATCGAGTATCAAATATCATCCCAGCATAAAATAAGGATAACCCATAATTCGGTGATATGTATACATCAGATGTTAGCAAAAATATAAATAATCATTATGCTAGTTGAGATAATGGCTTAAAATAATGAAAATATTTATCTATAATAATACAAAAGAATATTATCTGAAGAGAGTATATGATCAAAGGAAAAAAGGACAATGTCTCTCTATAGGCACGACACATTCTTTATCCACAGTGATGGTCATACAATTTCGAGGTCGGTTCGACCGATTTTCCAGCCCTTTGATTTTCCCCGTATTAAACCAGACGTCAGGCAGCTGAATGAATCAAAGCAATCGGTCCAGTTCGGTTCTCAGAAAAGTGATCCCGTCCACTTCTCACACTTATTTATTTTTAAATTAAAAAAGCAGACACTAACGGATTAAAGTTACAGGAGAGATTGAATTTATGACCTCTTAGCTCTTGCATACAAGAAAACATATAATGGCTTTGAATCCTCACAATCAGTTTTTGAGGTCACAAAGCAGATGTATATTTATATATATCCTCCTGGTTCGGCTGGCAGGCACTGGGAAAATGTAACAGTAGTAGTAGTACTAATAATTTCGCCGGTGCTTTACGAAACCGATATATTTTGCAGTTGCGTCAGCAAAAGAGGGTGGAGAGTGGAGTAATGGAGCAAGGCATTAATAGTTGGTGAACAGCGCGGTAAGGTTCAAAGGAAGCAGATTTTACAAGCGCTAAAAGGGGAAAGCATGAGCTAAGCAGCGATAAATAAGTGGCATGTGCAGCGAAAGAGTATGCACATGCTTCGGGTGCAGGGGATGGGACATGGAGCTACCTTTTGCCCTGCATCCACCACACTCTGTTGCCGTCACAAGGTGCATTAAATTGAATTATAATCGACTGTTACGCCTCACGGGCCAAACTGATGCACATACGCCTACACACCAGAGAAACAACGCACCCTGATCCAATTGTGAAATAAGACCACCCACTAGTAAAGTTAGTTGCGAAATTGGTGCTGCATTATATGAGTCATAAATCATGAGATAATAAGTGTTCACACGTTGACACGTTAACATTGGAAAGCAAGGGAGAATCAAAGGACCAATGCTATCCACTCAAATTAGCTGAAAAAGCACTCGCCACTGCAAACCCTGTTGAGGCTTTTTTATGAATGTGAATTCTGATGTCACTAACCAATCCCTGTTCAAACTAGAGGCAAACGGAGCAAGAGACATAAATCACGGTGTGTATAACACAACCACAAGAAGACTCCCGAGGATAACAACTCTGTATCTTTTCAAGCTTTGTTACACCACTAACGAGATGATCAAGCTGGCACAAAAAGTTGATTTCGGGCAAGCTTAAACTATGATAACATCGTCACACTCTCTAAGTCTATACCCAGAAACCCAGGAGAAAAAAGTAAAAAACCGTCATTACACAAAGTTGGAATTCCTATCAGGTCAAGCATCTTTATTCGGAAGCTGATGTATCAATACCAAGCTTACACTTCAATGGAACGTAGACGAGTTAGAAAGTATTTATTAGCCAGCACCACAAACACCAACCATAGATCAGTCATCATTAACCTATTCAATGATACAGTTGGGGAAAAAAAAAAAAAAAAGGGACACGATGCCTTAAATAAAAGTCTAGACTCTATTTAAGATTTTTTCTTAATTTATTTGAGAAGAGGAAACTCCAGCAGCTATCATGGCTGTCCAGCAACGAGGCATCAGCCACCCTAATAGAATCATAATTAAGGAAGAGAAAGAATAGATGAGTCAAAATTTGAACTTTCACAGCCAAGTAAAACAACAATCTCAAATAACTTGTTTAACTCTGTCCAAGATATCGACATTTCCCCAAATTTTAAGAACAAAAGTAAACACAACTGTTCAGAAATGTCTTTAGAATTGAAAAAACACTACATGCAGACGGATCTCAGGAATTTTTTATCCTGAAAATGATGTCAACCACATGCTGCAGTGAGCAGGCAAAAACTTTACGGCACCAACTGTGCAAAACACGATTTTGGTAACACCAAATAACAGACCAATAATATGTAAATAATTAGATATAACCTGTGTTTAAAGACATAATTGATCCTGATAAAAACCAGATGCTGTCAACACACACCAAGTATTACATAGCAGTCAATATATTCTGGCATCAGGCTCCTCTAAAATGTGATTGAAGTGCACCTAGTAGCCTTTGGCAAGCAAATCAGGGGAGTTGATTTTCATATATCCATATATTGCTATTAGGTTGTTCCTGATTTATAAAATTTGAAACCATTAGTTTTATCATCAACAATGATCAACTCTGTGCGTTTCTATCCATCTTTCTAAGATGCACCCTGTTCTTTAGAGGATCTTTTCCCGGTATTTTGTTACGTTCAAGCTACCTAATCTATTACCTAGTATTATGAGTATAAAAGAACTCAACCAATTTGAAGTAGCGAACAAATTTTCAGGTAGCAAATAAGATATCATATTTTAACATAACGAGATATTGTATTTTAACACTTGTGGAGATCCATAACTGATAGTAACCTGATATTGCCTCTGCACATGAAAAGATGTGAAACAGCAAACACAATAAGCTAGAAGGAAACAAGTCTTCCCGCAAGACACTTCGTACATTGCACTTATTCTGCTTATACCAGTGTAGAAGCTTGTAAGTTCCATTTATCAAAGCCAAGTATATCAATCTCTAAGCACATGGCCTTTCACTAGGCTTACAAGAATGAAGTCTTCTTATGAGGCAATCGGTAGACTGTTTTACATTCCTCTCCTACTAGTGTAAACTTTTGCATGTCTCATTTAACGAAGCTAAAAATATCAAACTCTAAATGTAATCTTCCAGAGCAATTGCCTTCCATTAGATATCTCGAAAACAAAAAATTGCATGCCCAAACTAAAGATCTGCTGATTAACTCCTCATGATGGGTTCGGTGGCGTATTTACAATCATCTATTGATCTATCAACATGCTATCTTAACAAGTGAAGTGACCCTTCCACTTCATTTGCTGCAACCTCATTTAAAATTATGCTTCTCCATTGTATAGGGAAATAAGGGTTACTTAATATTCTAAACCCTTGTGTATTTGCAGGATTGTTAACCCATACTAAATACAGCTGTTTCAGATCATATGTATCGTGAGATTAGGACTACTATTCACTTATCTTTCCCAATCAGCTAAATCAAGCTAGATCATCCAACTCAATGAAATCCTCCTCTAGAATCGAAAGCAAATCTTGCTGAGATGCCAATTCCCCAACAAATATTGCACCACCACCAGGAAGTCCAGAAACATTTTCCTGCTAACAAGCATAGGCAAAAGGAAAACATGAGGAAAAATAAATTACAAAATATGACACTAGTTTTTACGTTAACGATCAAGAACTGTGTCATGCATAAGATGTATTGACATAATGGCTATCTAAAGCCCAAAAACAGGGACGTACTTCAGCCAAGCTGCCACGTCAACACGAGAAATATCTGCTAAACAGTGATCTTGATTTCCCCATTTAAAAGATTACTTATCTATTAGTACAAATGTGAACTTACTAAGGGACAAATATAATAAATAAAATTGTACTAAATACACGTTTATATATTTCCAATTTTCCAAAGCATAATTTCGCACAGTTGAATTTCCAGTGACATGCCACGCACCAGAAATTCAAGTATGATGTTTCAGTGACACGCTTCAACCAAAAAGCATGCGATGCTAAGAAATGCCGCCACATTATATAATTTTGTCCATTTCTTTCGTGAAAATGTAACTTCACAGAAGTGATGTGAAAAATCATTTACCGACTTCCAGCACCAATAGCCCCTAATTCTGACCAAACAATGCAGATCATACTGATGCAGACGTTTGTTATCGACATTTGGGAAAAAATAACAACAAAAAATAAATAACTGCTAAGGAACTATATGAGTTCAACCGAAACGCTAGCTACATTAAAAAAGTACTTCACAGCAGTAAATCCGGTGTGTACACCCAGCTTGAGAATAAAAACTGAATATAATACAAGTACATAAACAAGAAAGAAAATAGTTCTTTTCCTAAGTCACATATTAGAACAAGCATAAAGATAACAGAGCAAAAGCAAAGATGAATATATATATATATATATATATATATTACCGTTTGACTGTCTTGAGGACCTGCACAACACTGGAAAGTAGCAACAGAAGCTGATGCAGCCGCAATTTGATTGTCATCTAGTTCACTAGGAGGTGTTAAGGGAGACACTGGAATCTTTCTATCAATGGAGCCATCGCCACGCATTTGAGTCTCAACCATATCAGGTGGAACATATCCATCATGCTGAATGCCGATGTGACGTATAGCCGAGAAACTTTCCTCTGCACAAGAACAAATACCATTCTCTGACACACTATTCTTATGACATGCTTTAGAAAACACTCGACAAATAACAAATGAGGCCTGCATGAGAAATAAAGATATGAGGGAATCAGAGAAAAATATAACTAAAGTAATACAGGAAGTATGTCAATTCTTAATACAAACAGAAAATACCAGGAACCTTAACATGAAAGCAATTTTGTCTCTTCCACAAGGTAATGATTAGAACATGAAGTAACTAAATTGCTTCAAGACAGAAGGCGTAGAAAAAGAGATTGCCAGACAAATAGAAGATAGTGTGCTAACTCCAAAATTATGAACTTCGGAGTTCGACAAACACAAACAGGCTTAAATTATGGGTTTATAATCTGGGAAATGCCACCAAACAAAAGAATTATAACTCAAAAAGTATACTAAGTGCCTTCCAATAACACACACAAGGAAGGGTCACTTAAGTACAATTTTCTCTTTCGTCCGTTGAATTACCGAAAAATTGAAGCTTTCGAAGTTGACAGTTTATTAAGGGAGAAAATCACAAGAAAATCCCAAATTTTTAACTTTCAAAAAATGAAGCGCGACAATTGAACTCAATTATTAACAGCAGCAAGAAATACATTAAATTGTTCCGCAGAACAAAACTGCAAACACGATTTCGTAAGTGCATACTCAGACAGGAATCCAATTCATAATTTCTCAATGATTTTCAGATTACCCATGACATTGCACATGGATGGTATCAAAATAATTATAAGAAGAGAATAGAAAATTGACCACTTTCCTATCCCCGATCCAGTAACAGAGTAACCGAGCGATAAACTCAAAACTAGATAGCGTCCGAAGACGCAGCATTAAATCGAGACCTTCGTAAGCAATTCTTTAGTCGTAATGTCGAGCTCAATTGAAAAAACTCCACGAACAAAGGGAGGCATGGAAAGTCCAAGAATGAGTCCAAATCATGTACCTTAAGATGATCAACTAATGCATACTCATACAACATCCAATTCGTCCTGCTAGCGTTCTTGGAGGAACTCCCCAGATAGAAAACGAAAGTGGTCCTGGTGCCCAGGACAACATTCCCACCGCCATTCAAAACATTCCTAGCCCCTCCCTTTCTCATCCAATACCCGGTCTTGACCATCCTAGTCTTCCCTCTAGCACCCTTCAAAACCCTGGCAGTATAACAGTACCAATGCCTCTTCCTTCCTCGATAACCATAGGAAAAGCACGCGATTTCAGGCAATCGGGAAGGATCGTAATCGTACAGGTCAATCTCCCTGATCAGATCGCAACCATGGAAATTACCGCCGGCGTTCTTGTTGGATAAATAGTAACAGAGGAGCTGCTCTTCAGAAGGATAGAAACGGCAACCGGGTGGGAGTGAGGCAGGCAAAATGGCTCTGGAGCATTGAGGCTCTTCCATGAATTGGAGAGATTATTAGGGTTTTGGGAAACAAGAAACAGAGCGAGAGGAGAGGAGTGTGAGACTGTGAGGGCTGAGGAGGGGCTTTGTATGGAAATGCCGAGGAAAGAAGCGTGCCCATGAAGCTTCTCTAAGGCCGCCGCGAGAGGGCGCGTGTTTGCGCCCGAGACCATGCTGATTGCTGCGTGGCGTAGGATCGGTTCCAAGCCGTCAACAAAACTGTTGGTTTGGCTCACAAATCTCGAGGCATGCATTTCCAGAGATTCTGATTGGCGGGATTGGAGAACTCCGTGGACTCCCCTTTCTAGCGAAACGCTTGTGGCGGTCTTCCGGTGCTGGCATGTCCTAATTGGCTGGGACATCCCAATCCTGCCCCTTTCAGAGCTGAGCAATCAGAAATCATAACAGGGAACTGCCTTCATTTCCACATTCAGCTGAAAGTAAGGGTGTTCAAGAAGCCCAGTAGCCCGTTATACCCGCTCAAACCCGCAAAAATATCCAGTCCATCCTAAAAAAAATGGTCCAAAAGATATATTGGGCATATTCAGGCTAGACATATTGTCGGGCAGGGCTGGGCATCGGGCACAGTATGCTGCCCTGCCCATTTGGCCCTACCCACAACAATATATATAATTTTATTTATATATTTTATTTGTTTTATATTTATCTCTTGGATCAAACACTCTGTTAAATTAACATTCAATATTCATTATACTTATTTATTTTCAAATGATTTTGAAAGTAAACTTATTATCATTTACTGCAATTTGTATAACCATTCTCTTTTTTAATGCAAACATTATGACTATTAGCAATTTGTATAATTGATTCAGGCTCTTATGAGTATCTAGGAGTTATGGGGGGAAAAATATTTACATTTGGTTAAGAAATTTTAAAAACTAGAAAAGCAATCAAGTTTAATAAAGTATACTAATAACATTTTTGTTTTTCATAGTTTACTCCTCTTAGCAACTATAAAATGTTGTTTCATAATATATCAATTGCTAATAACTAAATTAAAATCAAGTTACCATTTTAATATAAAGTTACATTTTATTATCTAGAAGAACATAAATAACTAGTTAAATAATATAGTATATTGATTTTCTGGGCATGGAAGCCCGCCCAGCCCAGCCCGCATTTATCCTGCCCAAACTTACTAGGGCTTTTCATGGACAGGACCGGGCAATGGGCTGCATTTTTCAGCCCGTTTATTTTTCGGGCTGGACATCGGGCAAGGGTCCTGCCCTGCCTAGCCCTGTCTATGTGCAACCCTAGCTGAAAGATAATCTAGGATCCAACATTTATGGTAACGTTAATTTCAACTCATAAAATAGTTGCGTGCGTTTTTTTCAGGGGGTAACTGTATAACATTAATTTATCTGAACACCGGAAAAAGACCCTATTATAGGGGCATTAAAGTTTGGATTTTAGGCAGACACAGCGAACTCCAAAAAATTTAAAGAAATGACACGCACCCTAATTTTTTACTCGAAAAAAAAATATATGTATCCTAATTTATACTATTGTGATGTGGTATTGAATATTGATTATACAATCATTTATTAATATTAAAAAGATGCTTACTTCATATATTTTAATCATAATTGATGTTTCGATCACAATTTTAAATAAATTCTAAGTTTACAAGTACATGTGTTTATTTATGTGGATGCGAGATGAGAGAAAGATAATCCGAGGCATATCTAGTTTGAATTTTGTGTATTCGATTCAACATGATTAAATGATTAAACCAGAATTAACAAAGGGTATGTTACTCCATCCATTCCTTTTTATAAGAGATAATTATCCAAATTATATTGTTCAAAATGTTGATAATAATAAATGCCTAAAAAATAAAACCTTTTTGTCAAAAATATCCTCATTTATGGGGAAAAGATATTATGTGTGGGAATTAAATATAATGATATGAGTAATATAAATAATTAAATAGGGTAAAATGTAAAATTAATAAGTAAATTTTGAAACAAATGTCTCTTATAAAAAAAAAAAAAAGATATACTTCACGATAATTTTTTTTCAAAAAAAAGATACACTTCGCAATGAAAAAGGAGGGAGTATGTAACATGCAAGGGCTCAGAAAGCCATATACATACACGTCGCCATAATCTTACATTTGTGTGGCACTTTTCTGTCGGCAAGCCAAAAAAAAAAAAAAAAACGCCGCCCTTTCCCAGGAAGTGTCCTTTTTTTCCCGGGGGGGTTACAATAGAAAGGGTCTTTAGTTCCTTTTACTCCTCGCCCAATAGTTTTTTCAGAAAGAAAAATACATTTTTTTTATACCCCCTGTGACGATGATTAGATGTGGTAAACATTAATTGATAAAGATAATATTAAAAACTAAATATTATTTTAATACTATCATGTTAATTTCAATACTTAAAGACGCTTTTATAACCATTTTCTAGTGCATGCAAATAAATTAAAAAGTGAGGTGTGCAGGTGGGAGGGAAAACACGCAGCCATTATAAATACTATGACCTTATTTGATTTTTATCTTGATTTTAAGTATAAGATTTTAATTCATTTTATCTCTTATATTTATACATTTTTTTCTAAGGTAGTTTTTCTTGGTAATTCTAACCAATATACTTGATTAATAAGGATATTATAAAAAAACAAGACATATATATTACAAATAACTAACTTAACTTATTTTTTTAATATTCTTAAATTAATTAATTAGTTTTTATAATCAGAACCGGAAGTAATAAATGATTATAGCATATATTACCATTATTTGCGCAGAAGTCGAAACGTGCGGAGGGGAAATGGAAGGAGAAAGCTGTGTATAGATACCGCCGCACCTGCATGATATCGTATCCCGAGGCTTCCTCCGCAATAATATTAAATCATATGGATCAATGCGGCCAATTAGAACACACGATGGTGCCAAGCACACAGCAGTCATACTCAGAACTGCACGTGGCATTTTTTCTTTATCATCGGGCAATGTGAAAAACAATGCCGCCACAAGTTTCGCCCCCTCTGAGAATACATTCGAACAGCCAACGTTTTTTATTTTTAAGATTTCAACTAGCTACAAGCGTCCAAGCGTCCAGTCTCTTCACTTGGCCATGCCAAGGGAGTGTCGGTAAGCATGAGGAATGAAACTTTTAAGAGAATACCAATGTAAACAATCATCTTAGTATTTTTTAATTTAAATGAATTCATTAAATCCAAGATCAAATGAACTCATTATCCTGAAACAAAAAAAATCTCGAATGAGAGTGACGAGATCTCACTGGTGGTTCTCGTGCTGACGTTTTAGAGCGTTAGGTGGGATCCGACACTCATCTGAGCACCCCAGATATATCCCTCTTGCATTTATCTCTGAAATGCCAAACAAGTTAATAATGTTCGATTTATTATATGAAAAACACGAAACACGAAACACGATTTCAGGCTCACATCAGCATAATAACAATCCGTGCGGGAAAAAAGTCTTTTAAAACTACATAAAACACACACCAACAAAACCAAGTGATGCTCTTTTAAACAAACGATAAAAGAACCATGCGCCGCAAATAGAAATTACTATCACACACGTAATTATAACTGCTTAAAGAATCCCAACAATCAAAACTCCGTTGAAGGTTGGCCAAAAAAAAAAAAGACTATTGAGGAATTGGAATTATGATCGGTACTTTTTCTAAAGTTACATGCAACTTGACATCATTTGGAAGGACTGGGGGATAATTAAAGGAAAACTAATGGTGCTTTTAGAAAGCACGGGTCATAATTTTAAAATTCGAAACATTCTTTGAAAAAAATAATACTCCTCTGGTCCTTAACATAGGACCTAATTTTTAAGTTGGTTTTGGTCCTAAATATAAGACCCATTTCTCATATTTATTAATTTTCTTTAAATTACCCCTATAGATACTCCCTCAACCATAATCAAGTAGAAGAGGGAGAGGGGGTATTAAGAAAGATGATTATGGTGTTTTAGGAAAAATGTGTCACTTTTCTTGTAATTAACTAATTTACCTAACTTCCTTAATATAATCAAATTAGTTAAATAGGTCTTATATTAAGAACTGGAGGAGTAATTATTATTCGTTGTGCATTTCAGCATTTGAGGCTCTACTGATGTTATTCCCGGCTTTAGCCTACTCTACGAGGAAACGGTTCTATCTTGGGCCGGGGGCTTAGGGCTGGGCACATTACTGGGCCTTCTGCTCCGCCTTCATGCATGTGTAAATTCTGCCTGGCCCAAATATTTTCTACTTTGCCCAGTTAAGTTATGCATCATTAGGACCCCTGCACAAAAGAAATACCACTAATCGTATGGGCAATAAGCCCGTCTTCAGTACCCCAAAAAAAAAATCGCCACTAATCGTAGCTTGGTTCTGATTCAGATCATGAGTTGCAGATCAATCATGTCTCAAGAGTGCTTCTTTTAAACTTTAACCGATTTACCTGATCCCTAAACAACGAAATGAAGAGCCACCACGCCATCACCATAAATCATAGAGTAATGTCAAATATTTTTCAAATAGTTTATTCATCAATAATAATCTTTCGGGCATTGTGAATTGACAACTAAATCTTTAAGACTCTAGCTTTTTTTTTTTTTTGGTTCTCTGTCTAACTCTCTACAACGTTAATTCAAACACCACTAAACACCTAATCAGTGGCATGGAATTTTTTTTCCCCGGTTTCAATACCGACCTGGTTACTTTTATTTTTCCTTGAGAAAACAAGAAATCACTCGTCAATTTCGCACAAAATACCCATGAAAAATAGATGAAATGATATATATATTTTGCATCGAGGAAAATGAAGCATCAACGTCCTATTTTAAACGATGGAGAAGTTATTTTCAAATTTCAACTGACCAAGGGAATGATTGCAATTTTCTCTTTTACCCAATGCGTATCGAGCTAATTGGAGGACTTACGAGTGATGAGCTACAACGCATGAAAATCTGGCTTTGAAACGATCGATTTTGGTTTCCCTCCCGTTTGTGGTGGTGGGGATCACAGAGTGGCCCTACTAAGCACAATGATAATTCGAAATTATCTTGCGTGAATGGTGGAAAATAAGCAGATGCATGTACTCTTTGATTTGCAGACGATGTACGATGCTTTTTGAAAGACTTTTATTACGTGCATGTTGGGGCGAGTGAAGAAATGGGTGTTATGACTTATGATTATTGTTTTTTGAGTTTCGAGCTGGAGAACATTCAGGCCCTTTTCAAATCGAAACTTAAGATGTGAAAGTAAAGAGTAGGCTTCAGAAGAAGAAATAGGTGCGTGGACTTCAGTGTCCCGTATAGCCTCTGCTTTTAACCTAAA